AACGAGAAGGTGAAGGGGATTCGAAGTGATAATGACACTTACTTCAAGAATGCTGTCCTGGATCATTTTTGTGCTGAAAAGGGTATACTGCATCAGTACAGTGCTGCTCGGACACCTCAACAAAACGTTGTAGCGGAGCGGCGAAATCGAACTATGATTGATGCAGCAAGGACCATGTTGTGTGAATCTAAATTACCGGTCTTCTTCTGGGCTGAAGCCATTAACACGGCGTGTTATGTTCAGAACCGTGTTCTGATCAACAAACAGCAGATGAAGACTCCATATGAAATTCTATATGGTTATAAGCCGACGGTTGCTCACTTCAGGATCTTTGGATGCCCTTCAACACTACTTCACCTGGAATCAACTCCTAAATTTAACTCAGAGGCTGATGACTGCTATTTCATGGGATATGTTAGACGCACTGCTTATCAAGTCTACAACAAATCCACCAAAACAGATCCTGGAGTTATTTGATGTGCACTGGTTGGAAGAAAACACAACAGACGCTCGAGTTGGACCAGGTTTGTTATTTAATTACACTTCTTTGTTTAAATCTTTTAATGTGTTTTCAGATGATATTTCAAGCACATGTTCAGGTTCGAGTGCAGCTATTGGAATGATGAGGAAGATGTTGTAATTGGATCATTCAAACCATCTGTGGTGGTTCCTGAATCTCCGACGGTGAATGCAAACACACCAAATACATCGTCTTCTTCACCTATCCAAAAGTCTATATCTGACACCGAAGCCACTTCCCCTACTCCCGAGGAAGCTGAGGTTCTCTCAAGGGAAAATGTATCTACCACTCAAACCTTCATGGAGTTTCTCTTTCCACAGCCATTCACAAATGAATTTGTGGCAAGTACTTCTCATGGTCACAAACAGTCAGATGGAGGTGATTCGGCAGCAGGAAAATTTGACAATATCACAAATCTTCCAGTCACAGTAAATGATATCAGCCATCATGTTCCAACCAGAGTTCAACGTGATCATCATATCCAGAACATTATTGGTCCACTAGAAAGCGGGGTTCAGACCAGAAGTCAAAGTGGAGACGTCAACGAATGTCTGTATTCGTGCTTCATATCCTAAATTGAACCAAAGAGTGTGGCCATGGCATTAAATGAACCAAGTTGGGTAGATGCAATGCATGAAGAACTAAATCAGTTTGAGAAGTTGAGAGTATGGCAGTTGGTAGAGCTAACAAAGGGCAAGAAGTCTTTGGACACGCGTTGGGTTTTCAGAAATAAGCAAGATGATAGCGGGGTTATCGTGCGTAATAACGCTCGTTTGGTCGTTTGCGGATTCAGGCAGATAGAGGGGCTTGACTACACAGAAGTATATGCTCTTGTAGAACGTTTGGAAGCCATTTGTATATTCCTAGCATATGCTTCTTACATGGGATTTACAGTTTATCAAATGGATGTCAAGACAGCCTTCTTGTACGGAGTCGTGAAGGAGGAGATTTATGTTGATCAACCCCCAGGGTTTGTCAATCCAAAGTTTCCTAATCATGTTTACAAGCTGGAAAAGGCTCTATATGGTTTGCATCAGGCTCCTAGAGCTTGGTATGCCACTCTAACTGAACATCTGCTTGAGCACGGATACACAAGGGGAACGATCGATCAAACATTATTCATCAAGAAAGTGGATGCAGATTTGATTGTCGTACAGATCTACGTAGACGACATCATCTTCGGGTCGACTAGCACCGAGCTATGCAAATAGTTAGAGGATGTAATGAAGAAAAGATTTGAGATGAGCTCGCTGGGTGAGATGGCAATGTTCCTAGGGTTACAGGTTCGACAGGATTCAGCTGTATGTCTATTGTATCAAGGCAAATATGTGGAAGACATACTAGAAAAGTTTGGTTTTAAAGATTCAAAAATTGCTTCAACTCCAATGGAAGAAAGACCATTGTTGACCCCAGATCCAAACGGGGAATCCATAGATCAAACTGAATATCGATCGATGATCGGATCTCTGATGTATCTGACTGCCAGCAGACCTGACATCATGTTTGCCGTGTGTCAATGCGCTCGTTATCAGGCTAATCCTAAACTTTCTCATTTAGTTGTTATTAAAAGGATTTTTAGGTACCTTAACGGTAGCCCTAAACTAGGTCTTTGGTATCCTAAAAATCTCGATTTCGATTTATATGCTTTTGCTGACAGCAATTATGGAGGGTGTGATCTTGACAGGAAATCTACGTTGGGTGGATGTTAATTTTTATGGGACCGATTGGTGTCTTGGCAATGCAAGAAACAACAAATGGTGTCGACCTCCACGACTGAGGCTGAATACGTTGCCGCCTCAGCCTGCTGCTCTCAGGTTATCTGGATTCAACACCAATTGCTGGATTACGGTTCAAACTTTCTTGACACTTCCATTTTTTTGTGATAATGATGTGGCCATTCAAATTGCTAAAAATCGGGTTCAACATTCCAAAACCAAGCACATTGACATTAAAATTCATTTTATTCGAGATTGTTATGAGCGTAAACTCATTCGTTTGGAACAAATTCACACTGATAACAACGTGGCGGATTTGTTTACCAAACCCTTCAGTAAAGCTCGTTTCGATGTGTTTGTGGGCTTTTTAAAAATGATTCGTTTCGATGATTAAACTTTAATTTTTTAATTTATTTTTTTGTTTAAATTTGCGCATTTTTCTATTTAATTTCTTCTCCATGCACAAAATTAGGGGGAGAAATAAAAAATTCAAATATATATATATATATATATATATATATATATATATATATATATATCAAAAATACAAAAAAAAATGTTTTCTTTCGTAGTATTCTTGGGAAGTGATATGAAGTCTAGTGCTAAAGGGTAATATGAGATGCGTGTAAAGCACTGAAGCTGAATTTTTTAGACTCTGCATTTAATGTGTTGGTAGGCATGAAGGATTCAAAATTAATGGACTAGACACATCTGAAAGTGAAAGGACTAGACAATGTTAACTCATCTGGACTTAGATAGTTTCATTTGGACTAACCATATGACGCTTGGATAGATTGAGCAGTGAGATAAACAAGGGAGCCTACGAGATACATTAAAGTTACTTAATATCTAGAACTGTGGCTCAACACTTCTTCAATGTACGGACGTATGTCCATAATTCTATTACTGATAGGGTGACTGGGGGGTTCTGATAAAGTATGTCAGTGTCAAATTGTTTTTCTTTCTTATCCTCTCTATTAGTCATATGTTTCCCCCTTTGCGTGATCGGAAGATCCGACCTGAGACGCAAATATACACTCTATTTCTATGCATCTATATCTATGTTTTTCTCTATCTATCTATGTCAGTCATATGCTGTCCCCTTTGCGTGATCAGAAGATCCGACCTGGGATACAGCATATGCACCTTTCTATCTCTCTAACCATCTATCTATGTTACTCACATGTTGTCCTTCTGCGTGATTGGAAGAGATCCGACCTGGGATACAACATATGCATCTCTATATCTATCTCTCTCAAATAATTCAGCACTCACCTAAAGTAAAGAACTCTTTGGAATTCCTTGATCGCTAGGGTATATCGTGAAATGGGGAACACATTCTAGCGCACTTAAAATTGAATTAGCTAAAGGTTGTCTGTAGATCTCGCTGCTGAATTTAAGTGGACAACAATATCATTGGTCTTCGTCAGCAAAATGGTCTATTTAGGAATATTATTTAGGTATATAATCACAATGTCTTGTCATTTATAATCTGTCCAACTTGTCACTATCCTTTGTGTTTAAGTGGACCACAATATTGGTGATTGATCAGAGCTAAACATGCAGGTGTGTGCTGATAAAATTTATTAAATTTCTCGACAACTTTTGATCCCAAAATGTTTGAATTTATTTAAGTGTGTTTATCTTTAATTTTATTTGACCTTTATTTGTCTTCATTTTAGATTATGGAAATTTTAAATTTTATTTTATTTTATTTTATTTTATTTCAAATTTAATTTGTTTTGTGTTGTTAATCTTCGAAATGAATTATTTAAATAAGGCCCATCAAACCTGGTGGCCCAAAAGGCCGAGAACCCAATGTTGGGGTATAAAAGATATAATTTTTGTTTTCGGTTTCATTCTCCAAGTTCTCAGAAATCAGTTTCCCTTTTTCTCTCTCAAAACCCTAGGCTAGAACAGTTCATTGTCGGTGTCAAAATCATAAAATTTCACTTGATTTCTTGAAATCGTCTCAAGGTATACATAGTTCGAACATCATGCTTTATATTTTATTGTGTTTTGAAGTGTTTGCAGGTGGTTAATGGAGTTTTTTCGGCGAGTTGACGGTGTTTTCCGGCGTAACTGCCAAGGACTTGATTCGTCGGGTTTTTTTTTTCGGGTTTTCGGTTTGATTCGGATTCGACAGAAAACGTTCCTTTTGACCGGAAACGTTCCATGTGCCCGAAATCGATATTATCCACCCGAAAACCAATTAAGCTGACCGAAAACAACTTGGTTAACCGAAAACGTTTGGTCAAATATGGTTTGACCGAAAACGATGAAAATTTTGACCTTGACCGTAAATGCAAATTTTGGACCGAAATCAACATTTATGGACCAAACTTTGATTTTTGAGAAAATAAATTTTAATCTTAATTTTTTTTATTCTCATTTGGTGCAGATAAATGGCGAATCAGTTAAAGTTTTTTGAAAATCACAATGTTGCTGGATATCTTATGGATCCACCTGCTGTTCATAAAGAATTCAAATCCATGATTGTTGGTTTGAATAATTGCATAATCTCTCATGCTTTTGCGTTCTAATCCAGTCATTTACAAGGACCTGATTGCTGATTTCTGAAAAAATGCATCAATCAAATAATCAGGGAGCGGATGGAGCTGGTTTTATTGATTCAGTGGTGAAGGGAACTCAAGTAGTTGTTTCTGAGCAAGTTATCCGAGAAGTACTTGAATTTGGTGATTCCCCTGCATTCCCAATTAAGTATCGTGTTAATCAAGTGAAGGAAGTCAATGAGAGGATGTGCTATGACGGAACCTATCCCCCCACCATCAAGAAGTTGCTACCACCTTACTGGAGGTTTCTGGGACACTACTTTGTGAGTTGCATTTCTGGAAGGAAGGGAGGGTTTGATGAGATTAATCAGACTGCAACCTCAGCCATTGTTGCATTAACAATGAACTGGGATTACAACTTTTCAAAGTATGTTTTTGAAGAAATGAAAAGGAATCTCCAAGGGAGGAAGAAGGATTCGTTCTTAATGTATCCCAGGTTTCTTCAGATGATTCTGAATGAAAGATATCCCCAGATCGAGAGATCTTCTGATACTTTGGACATCAAAGCTTTGGTCCTAATACCTTTGGGCTCATGAAGCAATCAAGACAATATGCCAAAGTCGCTTTTCAATGATTGAAAGAGTTGGTTAAGTTTGGAAAATTTGCAGAGACAGAAGGTATCCAAGCTTCTAGTACTCCAATCGCTATAGTGGCAGAAGAACACATGACACCATCAAGGTCAAATATCAGTTGTTTGGTTGAAGTCTCTGATGATGATGATGATGATGACTCCGATGATATTGATGATATGAGTTTTTGTTTGTTTGTTCCACCAAAGGAGCCAGTCAATGAAGCCGTGATTACCCCAGCTGAGACAGAGACTGAAATCAATATTTTCAGGCAACCAAATATTCCAACGCCCGAACAAATGGATGCACTTTTCAAATAACTACAGTCTACTACAAGGAAGCCTCCCCAAGCAGTACCTGCTACTGTTGAATCTCCATCTGAGAGTGATAAAGACGAACCAAATGCCTCACAGACGGAGAGATCCAAGGCCGGGAGTGCTTATTACTGAGCCAGTACAACAATCAGTTTCTATAGTTGAACCAGCCCAAGTTCAAGAAGATGTTCAAATCCCAATCATTGAACCAGCCCCGGTTCAAGAAGATGTTCAAGGTCAAATTGCTGAATCAGCACAGGTTCATCAAGATGCTCAGAGCCCCAATTTTAATGATAACTTTAATTTCATAGTAAATGAGGAAACCTATGCTTCAGGAAGTTCTTCTGCTCCACCACCTCCAGAGCACGATGATGTATCCATTAAGCCGGCTAAGATTCTTGCTTTTCAAGACTCTATTCCTCAGTTGATAGGAAAGGGTATATATATTGGTTATGGTCAAGGAGTTGATGAGGAATCACAACACACTATCTCTGAGCTTAGACAAGAGATACTGATTTTGAAGCAGGAATCCATTGAAAAGGATCTGCTAATCGGGAAGTTGGATGTGAGAATTTCGGACCTAGAAAAGGAAAATTCTCAAAAGAATAAACAGATCTCAGAACTCCAAGCTAATCTTGGTGGACTAACAGCTTTATACTTTGATCTCAAAGACAAACTGATTGGAAAGTTTGGTGATGAGTTCAAGTAATCTAGTTCTGAGAGTGGAAAAGCACCTGAGACTTCTGAGAGGGTGGTGGTTAGACCTGCCCCAGATTCAACCATTGATCAATATTTATCTTCTGGCCCTGCTACAGTTGAAGAGAAAAAGGAGAAATAGAAGAAAGTAAGTGTGTTGAACAAAAATAAAATGCTTCTGATGAAGAATTCTGATCAGAATGCAACTGGTCATCAACCTCAGATGTTCACCAAAGAAGTTGGGAAAAGAAAATTTGCTGACAAATACGGCGATCGTTCGGGTATCCGCATGAGGATATTCGAAGCTGACTAGAACATGTGGGTTGTGAACTGGAGGAGCAGAAATATTGAATACTATGAGAAGAAGGTTGATTTTTTATCTTGGACTAAGGTTGATCTTGCAGAGCTAGTCCATGCTCCCTTTCACAATCCTACAAATGATCCCAATGCCTGGGCGTTTAAAAATTTTCTAGAAGACAAACTGAGGCATAACTTTGCAGGCGTGTCGACAGCGTCCTCATTCGTCAGAAAGATAGAGGGTGCCATCGATCCGCCTACCAATAGAACCATGGTAAACATTATGTGGCCGCCTACAAAGAAAACAAAAAAGATTCCTCTCTCTCAGCCTATACCTGATGGTTCTTTGAATGCTCTTCAATTATGGGTATATGATGAGGCAACAGCAACTGTGGTGATCAAGACTGAAAAGGATCAGTTCCGTCTTGTTGAACCTAGGGATTTGCTGAGACTTGGCAAGCACGACATTCACACTTTATCCAGGAGTCAGCTTATGGTGCAAAATGAAATGTTCGAGGCTGCTGCGAAAGAATTTACCGACATGATTGCAAAGATTATTGATCAGAAGTTGTGGGCGGGAGCTTTAGCTGGTTCTAATGTTCATCATGTGGATAAACCATAAAGTTAGCCAGAAATAAACCAAGGGGGAGATTGTTGGTTCATATTTTTGTGGTTTATGCTGGGCTTATATTGTTATCTGTTCTTGGGCTTAGAATAGTGTTTTAGTATTTGGGTTTATTATCTTTTCGGTTGTAAGGACCGAAATCACTATGCTGATTTCGGTCATGATGGGCTTGGGCCTTTTTGTGGTGTTTGTATTTGGCACGTATATATTTACTTGTAAGTAGCCGTATAGAAGTTAGATGTTCCATTATTAGTTCACGGCAGCTTTGGAGTTCATATGTACCAGACGATTTATTCCTAATAGAATCGTGTGCATTTGAATTGAATTTGTGTGTTCTTGAATAATTGCTTAATTAACATTCCGCATTCTTTAAGAAATTAAGATTGATATTGCATAAGATTCATAGTTTTGGGACTTACAAATACCCACTTACCACTCGTCGAATTCTCCTACAATAACAGCTATCACACTAGCATCAAGGTCGCGCCATTCGAAGCCCTCTACGGGCGCAAGTGCAGATCCCCTCTGTGTTGGGATGAAGTGGTTGACACACAACTAGCAAAGAGGCAAGTGCCTGATAGCACACTCACCAGCCCGGAGATCATACAAGAAACTATGGAAAAGATCGTTCAGATCCGTGGACGATTAAAGGCATCTCGGGATCGGCAAAAGAGTTATGCTGATAAGCGACGAAAACCTTTGGAATTCCAGGTTGGTGACCGCGTTTTGTTGAAGGTCTCACCCTGGAATGGAATGATATGTTTTGGAAAACGTGGAAAGCTAAATCCAAGGCATATCGGGCCATTCGAGATCCTTGCTAGAATCGGCCCGGTAGCTTACAAACTCTGACTACCACAAGAGCTTAGTAACGTACATCCCACCTTCCACGTGTCCAACCTAATGAAGTGTTTGTCCGACGAGACTCTCGTAGTCCTACTCGACGAAATCGAGGTAAACGAGAGTCTACACTTCGTAGAGGAATCTGTGGAAATAATGAACAGGGAGATCAAGAGAATGAAACAAAGTCGTATACTAATAATGAAGGTCCGCTGGAACGCCAAGCGAGGGACTGAATTCACTTGGGAGCGGGAAGATCAGATGAAACAGAAGTACCCACAACTTTTCCTCTAGTTGCAAGAGCCCGTACAAGATGCTAATTTCGGGACAAAATTCCCTCTAATGGGGGGATGATGTGACAACTGGAAAATTTCGTGTTAAGCAAGGTTCAAAATGTATCTATGTATAAGTACAACCACAATGTAACCTTGTTGTAATAAAACTTTGAAAGCCAAAAGGGCATTATTTGTATAAGTATATATATATATATATATATATATATATATATATATATATATATGCATTATTTGGAAATCATGTTTGTAGTAAACACTTAAAGGTCAAGCAAAGACAAATAGTTGGAACATAAATCATGAATTTAAAACATTCCTTTATAGTTTTTGGCCCAGTACCCCACCCACCTTGAGATTTCGGTTGTAAGGAGGCTGAAATCACCAACCTAGAACACCTCTAGGCCAAAAACACCCCAAGATCCAACCACTAGGACCGACAACACCTTTGTGGGGGAGTTAGGACCGAAATCACATAGGGTGCAAGGTGATTTCGGTCATACCTTCGCCGAAATCACCCCTTTGATCCCTTTCTAATGTGATTTCGGTTTAGGGAATAAAGGGATAAGGATAGTTGACTTTATGATGAGATACTTTACCCTTTTCCCATGCAAAGTATACCCAGCAGTATCCCAAGAAAACCTCCAACAAATAAATGTATTATCCAGCAAGTAACTAAGCAAAAGTCCTATCACTTATACTCATCATATTTAACGAAATCACCCCTAAATCATCCACCATTTCCCTTTACAGCTTCCAGTTAACTCTATTTTCTCTCAAGAGCCAAATCCAAGCTTCCAAGTTCAAAAATCGCCAAGTTGATCCTTAGAGTTTTGGTAAGATTTTCTTGTTAGTCTTGTGTATTTATACACTCTCATGTTGGATTCATCATATTTACACACATTATTATGTGTTAAAACTCTTAGGGTAAAATCATCTTCAAAGAGTTCATCAACCCCATTCAAGAGTTTAGGCTTGGAAATCTTCACACCATCTCCTCAAACAATCCACAAATCCACTTAAGGTGATTTCATACCCCCACATTTTCGAGATTTTCATGTTTTATCGGGGGGGGGGGGGGGGGAATACAAGTCAAAATTGTTTATCACACAAATACTTGCATGTTTCATCGTTATGTTAAAGTATAAGCCATTATTTGCATAAGATGTGATTATTACTAGCTTTTTGTACAAATATTTGTGATATATTAGTTTTCAAATGCAAAACTAACAAAAACAAAACATGATCCATGTTATAAAAATCATGAGAAAAATTATGATTTGCAAAACTATAAGGTTTTTGGAAGCTTTTTACCAAAATATACTTTTTTAACAAAAAGGAGTATATTCTAGTTCTATCACTATTTTGTGGGTTACAACCCAAAAATATGAAGTTTCATCTACATTTTGGAAACTAAACAAGATGATTACTATGTATTTATATAAATGTTCTTGACAAACAAACATGATAAACTATAATTGGTATAGTTTGGGAGTCACAAACTACACGATCATTACAGAAGAAACATATAATTATTTAAAGGTATAATTATTCCATTTACAAAAAAAGGAGTTTTCAATTCACATAAATTGATGGATACTGGTTGTGAGACATTTGGCTTCACCGTACCCACCATAGTACACATACTAAGACATGCATTATAACCAGAGTCTCTTGTAGGGAGAGCGTGACACTCGTGTATAGATCTATACAGGATTGACAACCCCACACCTAAAATGTTAGCTACAGTTAGACCGGCAGGTCGGAGGTGACAAATGTCGTAACAGTTCCGACGTCTGAAGCACGTCGTTTAGGCAACTAGTCACATTAGCGTGGTTATAATAACTCACATAGAGTATCGACAATACATTTGATTTACGGGTTAACATACATTCAAGTAGTTTTATATACAGATAAAACTTCATAACACTAGTTTTCCAGTACATCATTACTTACATTTTTAGTGTTTGGATTAATACTTACAGTTCATTTTAAAGAAAATATTGGATTTTCTGGAAGTATACACTATCATTTTGCACGAAACAGTTGCAAACTCTTTCTCATACAAAACGCCTATGAACTCACCAACTTAATTGTTGACACTTTTTCAAAATCAATTGTATTCTCAGGAAATCAGTAAGCAGGTAATCAAGATGTTTTTGGTGGATGGGATGTCGTCGCATCTCGTTATTCATTTTGTCATATGCATTTGATATTATGTAAACAATGTTTCGAACACAATGTAAACTTATTAAATATTCAATGCAATGGTTGTGATGCTTTGATTGCTATTATTCAATTGTTATGATATTGTACATGAAGTCATCCGTCCCCAGACGTTTCCGTCGTTCTGGTTTGGGGTGTGACATCTAGTGAGTTTCTCCCATGATAAAACTGATATGAGTGAGAAGTTTGAGTGAGGTGGTGGAGGATGAGGAGGAAGGTTGGTGTTGTTGTTGTTGTTGTTCGGGATCGACATCTACAAAAGGGAGAGTTTAATTACTTTGATTTTATCCTTCCAATAATTTACCCATAAATAATTTTTTAACAAGGATAAGATCCATATTTGGATTAGCGATGTGTAAATAGATAATGTAAATACACGACAAAGTTATTTAGGTAGGCAATACTTTTTACCAATTTCATTCTCTATGAAACTCCTAGATCTTTGAGATTCATTGATTGCAGTCAATGACATGTTTATATCGTATTATGCTCATTTCTTTTCATTCACATGGATTTCATGGATCATAAAACAAATGGTAAATCAACCATGCAAAAACCGCACAATGCTCGACTCAAGTTACGCTTGAGATCCGCGAGTTTCACATCATTCCCAACTATAATCATCAAATTGATGTGTCGGCTAACCACACAGTCTTCATCAACAGATTATAAAGGAAATGTACGTTTTTCATGGGTAGAAATGTTGGGTTCATTAGCATCAATACACTTAATCATATATTGGAAACAATAAAAAAACACATAACAGTACATGCAACCTAAGATCTAGGTTTTACTAGTTATAGCAATGAACTTTCAAAATAAACTAAGTACGAATACTAACATGTTGTTGTTTCTTCTATTGGGACC